TAGGTTCTGGGGGGTCGATAAACAAAGAGAGCTTTACCTCGAACTGAATTACGGTAAGTTCGAAAGCGGCAAACGCGCGGACTATTTTCTACACATGGTAAATCAGGCTAGTTTTTTATCAACGCCTATACCGGAAAACAATTTAATTGAAAATTATCAAAGAATTTTTCACCGGAAATAGAGAGGGGCATCATCACTCTGGGTTTTAAAACTATTGATGAAATTCAAAATTATTTATATAGATTAGACGAAGCCGACGCTCGGCAAAGCGATTTTTCCTACACGTCTCTAGCGGCGCGGCGAGATCAAAGAGTGAACGTGAACGGCCAAGTTAGACGCGGCGGCGCAGGCGGCGGCGTAGATCGGAGCGGAGACTTTTCGAGAAATAACGGTCGTTGGCGCGACAACAGTGATAGGAGGCCGAATAATTCGCGCGATGAAGGAAGGCAGGACCGTATCGATGATAATATGTGTATGTTGTCGAATTTTATTCAAAAGTCTGAGGATTTATTGACAGATTCCGACGGTGAAATTAGTAGTGAGGAAGATAATGATTTTAAATCACCTATTATACAGGGCGATATCTGTAACGAAAAAGTTGAAATTTTATTAGACAGTGGTAGCCAGGTGTCGGCAATTTCGCAAGATTTTTATGAAAGAATAAAAAGTAAACAAAATATTCCTATATTACCGGTTACAAATAGGTCGATAATGATTGCGATTGGTGCGAAGCCATATCGAATTAAAAATCAGGTCTTGTTAACAATTATTTTAGACAAAATTAAGTTTGATGTTCCGTGTTTAATAATTCCAAAATTAAATAGAGATATTCTATTCGGATCTGATTGGATGAAAGTATTCTCCGCGGAACTTGATTTTAAAAATAAGACGCTTAAGTTTACAGTAGACAAAGAAAATTATAATGTGAAATTTGTAAAACCGCAAGATTATACCGAGGTAGAATCTTTAGTTATAAATAAAATTGAACTAACTAGGAATAATAGTAATATTGAGGATAAAGGAAAAATAAAACAAAGGCATGTTTACGATAGTACAGACCTTGAGTTAGTAGTAAATAAGTCAAATTTAGAAAAAGATAGGGATAAATCTAAACTTTTAGCAATATTAACCGAATATAAAGACGTATTTTCTGAAAGTCCAGGGCTAGTAAATAATTATGTACATCGTATTAACATGAAAGATACGGAATGCTTTAATCCACAGATATATCCGATTCCTTTATGTTACAAAGCGGAAGTAAGAAAATATATACACGAGATGACAGAAATGGGTATAATTAAACCAGAGTATACAGAGTACGTGTCACCTTTAGTAATAATTAAAAAGAAAGATAAAACTATTCGAGTTTGTTTAGATGCACGTTTTTTGAATTTTAAGATGAATAAAGATTTTGTAAATCCGCCTAATCCACACGAGATTTTATTTAATTTTAAACAAGGTCAAGTTTTAAGTACCATTGATTTAACGTCATCGTATTGGCAGATCCCGATTAAAAAAGAAGATCAGAAATATGTAGGATTTATTTTTGAAGGATTATCGTATACTTTTAATAGAGTACCTTTTGGATTATCAACATCTATTGCGAGTTTAATACGCTGCCTGACCAAAATATTAGGGGTGACGGATTATTTACTGGTATATGTAGATGATTTAGTTATATTTTCTGATAGCATTGACCAACATTTACAGCATTTAAATATTGTTTTAAGGAAGTTAAAATTAGCGGGCATGACAATTAAACTACGAAAATGTCAATTCTTTCGGAATGAGGTGCATTATCTCGGACATATTATTTCTTCTCAAGGGGTTATGATAGATAAAATCAGGGTAAAATCTATTAATGAATTTCCAAGACCGATTAATATTAAAGCATTGAGAGCGTTTTTAGGTTTAGTTAACTATGATAAAAGATTTTGTAATAGCTATTCGGAATTAACACTACCGTTATTAAATTTACTTAAAAAAATCAAACATGGAAGTGGAACGAAGTACATGAAAAAGCGTTTCAGGATATCAAAATATTATATTTAAAGGTTACTATGGTATATCACTGCGACTTAAATAAGAAGTTTTATATCGAATGTGACAGTTCGAATTACGCAATCGGGGGTTGTTCTATCGCGCTATCCGGTTAAAAATAATATTAAATCTGAGTTTTTTAATGTTCAAAATACATCGCTAAAAAGTATTTCGTTGATGCAATTACCGGGCTATTATTCGGAATTGAAGAAAAATCTGAAAAAGTTACGGCTAGATCAATTAGCAGAACCATGGATTAAACGTAATATTAAATTACTGGAGGAAACTAATCATGAAAAAATATTAAATTCAAGGGAGAAACGTGTTATAAAGTGTTTTATTTTACATGAAGGGCTCTTGTTTAAGAATCATGATTTGGGATATAAGGGATATCGTCTTTGCGTTCCACAGTCTCAAGTTTTTGAGTTAGTTAAGCAACAGCATGAATATATCGGACATTTCGGGAAAACTAAAACCTTTTGGTACATTCAAACCAGGCGATTTAGTTTTGGTAAAGAAACATGCCCAATCATCTGCAGAAAACAAAATAATTAAGAAATTTATCTTACTCTATGAGGGACCGTACATTATTACTCGAATAGCGGGGCCCAATTCTTATATAATTTCTACTAAAGAGGGTGAGGAACTTCTAGGAAAAAGAAATGTTAGAGATTTAAAACAGTATAAAGAATATAAAAATGATTAAAAAAGACTGCATAGGAGGGCAATCTTAATATTATGTTTAAAAAAATGTTAATTCTTTCAGAAAACAAAGAAAACTTGTTAGTTAGCTATTAGTGTTAGTTTTGGAGCAATCTGGTTTGCATTTACACTTATTTGTTCTTGTTATGTAAGTAGTTTTCTTTACGATTATTTTATTTGTGAATTTTATACCATATTAATTATGTTCTAGTGGTAATGAGCTGTAATTTCTATATTTATCAGCTACTTAAATGTTTATACCCTGTATTTAGATTTAAGTAGGGGGGGTGATGTGACGGTTCTGTTTAGTGCGGGCAGTGTATAGTTACGAAGGATCCAGACAAAGAAGCCGACGGCGGTAGCGGTAGCCAGCCCGGTGAAGAGGGGGGCGAGCGGACGAAAGGAGTCGAGGCGGCAGAGACGACACTAAAACTCACGAAAACCTCGGAAGCATTCGGATCCTACACGGAGAGTTCGGTTTTGTTCGGCGAGAAGCGCTTTGCGGGAATTTTGAACATTATGAATAATCGAGAATCGGAACAATAATAATTTTATTATGCGAAATTGCTAACAGTAGTTCAGTTGACTGTTTTGGTTGTTCATTTTGTTTTTATAGTTTCTAGTCTATTTTTAGAAATATGGCTATTATTTAAAAACTGATCTGCATTCATATATTTTTAAAACATACAAATATCATTAAAGTTAAAGTTACGAAATGTAATTTGTCATTATTTGGAAGGAAGGTCGTTAATGTATTTGGCTGATATTTGGTAATATCAGAGGTAATATACCTATATTGCCTACATCAAGTGATTTTAGTCAAAGTTGCATTAATGATTGGTGTAAATTAAAAATTGTTTCATTTACAGATTGCATGATCACTATCTAATTTGATGCATAAGTGAGAACCATAGCTTTACTTGAGGGAGCTCATTTATTCTCGAATTCTACTCTAGTTATTATCATTATGTCCTACATATGAATGAAGATCGGTTAGAAAAATTTGTAATACAGTACAGGGCAGAGAATATTATGTTCTGAATCAAGTTTAAATCTTTTATTAAAATATCAGTTCTTAAATTGAATCACATTTTCATGGGGAAATAAACGTTTTGGCAAAATTTGTTAGCTTAATTACTGTAACATATCAGAAATAAAAAAACAAATTTATAGTTCTAATTTTATTAGAATATGTTGCAGTTTCGATTACGGCCTATAAGAAGAAACTGCAAGAAACTTATGGGTGTTCTAGGTCAAGAAAATACAATAATTACAACAATACAATAAAATAATTTTAACAATAAACATTACCACATCGTACAGGAAGTAAGTACTATAAAATACATATAAAACCCTTAACCAACAGTCAATACATATTTACTTAAGTAAGACCAAAAACAAAATAAATAAAGCCTTAAACCAATAACCTCTTTCACTTTGTTGGGAATAATTCTTGCTTATCCATTTTCCTTTTATGGCTCATTTATTATGATCTTTTTATTGAACTACTGGCCTTCTCTGTTCATTTAGAAGAATTGTTTAGAACAAATGTGTAATGTGTCCTAAAAATAAAGAGACTATTTGACATAGTTTTTTTGACTGACTGATTTACATGATTACAATAATAATTGTAAGTTTTTTTTCCACATAGTCGTTATATTTTCTCATCTTCTGTTTTTCGTACCACAGTTTATAACTTTCCTTTGTGGCAAAGTCATAGGCAAAGTAATGCGTTTCCATTTCCAATTTTACTTCATAGTTGTTGCAATATACTGCAACTTCCACAAACTATACAGACTACCAGATTTATTACACAGTGGGCAAATAATACGTTTCTTCTTATTATAGTGTTTTTCACAAAATTAAGTGAAACAACACAAATTAAAAATAATCCAGTCTGTAATATTAATTATCAAAGTTCTATGAATCAATGTTCAATGAATTCACAAATTGTAAATCTTCTTTAAAGTGCTTTTAGTATTTTTGGTATTATTTAAAAATACAGGAATGCTGATGAGTTTTTAACTTTGTTTTTAAATAGGGCCATATATTTACTATGATATTTATAAAAATGCCGTTGTTTACAAAGTCCATCAGCGGTAAAGTTCAGCTGAGTTGACGTAGACCGCGGTTGCGCGGTTCAGCTTCCGAGTATTTTGTCCTTAGAGAAGGAAAGAGAGACTCTCTTTCCTTGTCTAGGGTATCGTGAGTTTTAGTGTCTCGGGTGTCGACCACGATTAGGGACACTTAAGGCTTTGGCACACAGAACGCGATCTGTCGCGGCGGGCAACTTTCGCGCGATCTTCGCTGCGGTAAAGCGATCTATAACGCCACACAGGATGCGATATTTTTCTGCAGTCGGACGTGCCTGTCATAGAAAATAACCTAACGTGCCTGTGTTTGCAATGTCTAGCTCTGACGAGGAAGAAATTCTTCTTCTCTTTGCTCTACTAAAAAAGAAAAAGAAAAAACGTTACTGGGTACATCCCATCAATAAAAAGAGGGCCCAATTTGGCGAATACCACCGCCTCTGTATTGAACTACAGTCTCATGAAGACAAGTTTTTTCAATATTTCCGCATGTCGAGATTGTGTTTTGAAGAATTGCATGACCTTTTAAAGGCAAATATTGCTAAGTGCACCACGAACTGGAGAAAACCAATTCATACAAGAGAAAGATTAGCTATTTGTTTGAGGTAATTAAAAGTCATAGACACTTTATGTGAAATTACAAATAAACTATAATTAATATATTAATATACAAACATTTATAGTGTTTAAACTTGACCAAAATGGCGTAGAAACGTCAAAATCAACATTGAAATTCAAATGTTTAAAATAATAACATTTAGAGTAAATTTATTTATTATCTAGGTTACATTAAGGTAAATATCTTCGGAATTTTCAATCATGTCGCTTGCTTCTTCATAAACATCTTTTGTTGAAAAAAGATTTGATTGGCATGACGATCTTTCGCTATATATTTGTGTTTGAGTATTGGGGTCCAAATGTTGCGATGTCCCGCAATAGTTGTGGTCCAAATAATGTAAAGAATTGACCGAAGAAGCTCGAGAATGTGATGCTGATGCCTCTATCGCTGGTGGTGATTGGGCTTCTAGCTCTTTAATTTCAGTTTCTGCAAATAATTTGGCAAGCTCTACCTTCAACTTGGCCTGAGTCAATGGACTGAATTTTTGAAGGTCGCAGCATAACTCAAAAATAAATGATCAACATCATCGATGCCCTGTTTGCTTCTTTTGTTTGACAAGAAGTCAATGACTTTATCGACGTCATCTGAGCCGTTTTCTATTGATGGGTGACTACGGGACTTATTTTTTTTCTTTTGGTCGGGCTGGTGTTCGTAAAGGTGTTGAAGATCGTTCGCGAGATGCATTTGTTTCTTGGGTATCATCAGACATCAACAAATTCTCTGCTTCAGAGAACTGACTATCTTCAGTTTCTGATAAGATTTCTGTTGGTACATTGCTACTATGCAAACGTGGTTTAAGAGTATAATCCAAAATTTCATATGGATACCCAAGGCCACTTATGGTATTTCTTGGCCTGACCAGTTTTACCCGTTGTAAACTTCTTGTATCTCACGTAGGAATCACGTAAATTCTTCCATTTTTGTTTTGCTGATTCAGCTGAAACAGAAATAAATCAATTAGATAAAGTACTTAGACCTCTTTAAAATATTCTAAATCACTTTAAATTATTGTATTTTATTTAAATTTTGCATTTGAAACAGTAGAAGTTAATTAACATCAATGTTTAAAAAAAAACATTCACTTCATACATTAACATCAATGTGTAACGTTTTTAGTTCGTTACATGTTTTTTTTATATATAATATATGATGTCTGGCCTATCATCACCGGATTCCCTCTCGTTCGGGCCGGATAGTTTATTTGACACGTAATTTTTACGTTCCCTGGTCGCCAACCCTGTTATTGTTTGGCACAACCCTGTTACTATTCTGTGGAGGCGCGCGCTGTCAACGTCGCTGCTGTCAACTCTCTCCGTGCTTAACCTCACTTTGTTTTGACGCTCTGTTTTATCCCAGCTTTTAGAAATGGTGATTATTTAAATCTTGCTGTATAATCTGAATCAGCTGCCATTTCGAAGCTACAGGGTAGAGTTACGGATGGCCCAACTTGTATTTGTATTTGGCTGGCACGTTGGCGTCCCTTTGCTTTTGGCCTCCAGAATGTCATTTGGAAGAAAGGACAGATTATTTATTATTTATTGAGCCCTCGGAAGTACTTCGAGGGTCTTACGGACAGACTATTTACAAGGTACGGGCATTATCCAAGGTCCTAGTATTCTCTTGTACCACTGTCTTATGGACGGATGTCCCATGGGCAAGTGTCCCCTGTAGGATTGATTTGTCTTCACATAGAGTGCCCCAGCGTGGGTGTGGCTTGAGCCCCGTGCTGCTTCACCCCCATTTCTAAGCCTGGATCGCCGACAGACAGTGCAGAGATGCAAGACCTCCTCGCGCTGCTACTGGTTGAAGCAGGGTTACATTAAAGAACAGCTAAGTTAATTTTAAGTTCTAGTATTGCATTTAACACCTAAAATGTTTTCAGTCTTAAACAGTAACGTACATTTAAACTATAGCGTACAGACTATATTTAGTGGTTAGATTATTAAGAATATTTATGTCAATGCAGTAGTAAAAGTGTGATTTAGATTTTAGATTTCATAGTATCACGCATTGTAATGGTATTACTTTCTATAGACATCATTATTACGCTATACTAATAGATGAATGACGAGATAGATTCTAGAATCTACAGGTTGCAACACATCTGATTGAACACCGTATAAATTTAACAATTTAAATAAAGTAATGCTACTTTTCTTATATTTTCTCTAATATTACACGCATTGTATTTTCCTTATAGTCTTTACATAGAACGTATTTAATATTATTTACATATATAGTTTTATTCAACAGGTAACCACTATAATAATTATTAAAATTGTACAATGATATTCACCATCAGAATTCGTCACGAATAAATATAGTCATTAGTTTTAAGTATTATACAACTGTGTTTTCTTTCTCTGTACATGCCTGGCGCCCAATATCTAGATATCTTTTGTTTATTATTATTGATTAATTTTCTCTCTAGTGAAATACCTTATCCACGACTGCTCTCTGATGAAAAGCTGCCGTTCGCAGTGGTAGTTGTTTTAAAAAACGCTACAAATGAAATAATTACATCATGATGTTAAAGATATGTATTTTTCTTTTTCAGATATTTGGCGACCGGCGACAGCCATCAGACTATAGCTTTTTCTTATCGGGTAGGACGATCAACTGTTTCCAAAATTGTGAGAAATGTCTGTCAAGAAATTTGGAAAACTCTACAGCCAAAGTATTTGCCATCACCCAACAGAAAAATGTGGTTACAATCTGTTGAGGATTTCTTGGTACTTTGGGGCTTCCCGAACTGTCTTGGAAGTATAGACGGAAAACATATTAAGCTAAAATGTCCTCGTCGTAGTGGCTCAGCTTATTTTTGTTACAAAAATTATTTCTCCATAGTACTCCTTGCTATCGTAGACCCACATTACAAGTTTATGGTAGTGGACATTGGCAATTATGGGCGTCATAGCGATAGCGCTATCTTTGAAAAATTCAGCTTTCTATCAACAATATATTGATAATAAAACTATTTTACCTCCAAGACCACTTCCAGGAAGAGACGACCCAGTACCACATGTATTTGTAGGTGACGAAGGATTTGCCCTGCAAACTTATTTGATGAGACCATACCCAAAAACTGGAATCATTAATGACACAAGAAGAAAAAATTTAATTCACAGCTCAGCCGAGCACGTCGTGTAGTCGAAAATGCATTCGGCATATTGGCTATGAAGTGGCGAGTTTTCTTAAGAGCCATAGAAACAGATGCTGCAACGGCTGACTGGATTGTAAAAGCAGCATGCTGCCTACACAACTATATATTATTACAAAAACAATACTAAAGAATATGTAGATATGGAAACAGAGGAACAAGATGAACCAATACGAGCGCTACTAAACACAAGACCGACCAACAGAAGATCGAATACTGCTGCGTTTGAAGTACGAGAAAAATTCGCCGATTACTTCAGCAGTTTATAAACCATGTATCTTTATTTATTTTATTTTAATATTATCATATTGTATTTTTTTAATTTATAAATAAAATGTACTCACCAGTCATGTTGAGAGTTTTTGCTATTTCGTTCCATGCTTCACTTTTCTTCAACATATTCTTATAATGTTCATGTGTAGTGTCATACAAAAAACACATAGCTTCTCACAGTTTCTATAAATATTTCATTATTTTCCGACATTTTTAATTTCATTGATGGATGTAAACATAGAAAATAACCTAAGATGTAAATATAATATATATCGCGCGATAATTTGTAAATTTGTACAAGTGTATCGCTTGTCGTCGCGATCTAACCTTGCCCGCCGCGGTAGACCGCTTTCAGTGTGCCCATCCTCGTACATTTTTGTGTAATACAAAATTGCTGCGGTCAAATATCGCTGCCCGCCGCGACAGATCGCGTTCTGTGTGCCAAAGCCTTTAGACTACGTAATTTTTTTTAGTATTAAGTAAAACTTTGTTATCTGAGTCAAATTAATAAATCGACCACTTGTGCACACGATTCGTCTTCTCTTCCTCAACCCGAACACCCAGACCCTGGGAGCAGTATCCGTCTAAGAGACTGCTGCAAGTAAAACACGCATTTTAGAATGGCTAAAAAATAAAATATTCCTTTTCCAGATCACATTTTAAAGAATGCTGTTTGGAATATAATTGAAAAGCAAGTTTTGCCGGAAAAAAATTATCATTTAGACAAATCCGCTGTTGAGCATGGTCATTGTGGTCTCAGGCTACCACCCTATCATTGCCATTTTAATGCCATCGAAATGGTATGGTCAGAAACTAAAAGATATTATGACCAAGCTATTATGAAAACTGCAGGGTTACTTACTGAAGTCTTAAAAGTATGGATAATGTACCAGAGCAACACCACTGGCAGAATTACATAAAACATACAGAGAAAATTATTTCTGAAGCATGGGAAGTAGAAAACAAACTGGACCTACTAAACATCGAACCTATGGTGACCTCTGTATCCAATGAATCCGATGATGAACTATCACTTTCCGAAAGTTATTCTGATTTAGAAAATAATTAAACTTAGTCTTTAAGATCACGTTGTCATGTTCTTAAAATCTAGCATTTGTACTTAATCGAACCCTTAAATAAATATTATTACTGCTTGCTCGACTCCTTGTTATATTATTTATTAAACTTTTAGTGCTTCAGACGGCATTTTGAATTGCCTTAAATCGAGATCCTAAATAGTTTTTTATATAGTTTACTACATTAAGCATACATATAAGCCTTAAATCGAGATTTTAAATAACTCAGATATTAATATAGGTATTTTTTAAGAAAACTCTGTATCTAGTTAATAAAACAATATTTTTAAAATGAGTGCGCTTTTTTATATTTTTTATTATGTCAAAATCTTTAGTATTTCATGAATTTCATAAAATTAAGTTTTATTATTATAAACCGCCACTGATAATATTAAATTTCAAGTCACCCCGCCAATGCAATAAGAAATATGTCAAGCATTTGACATGACAAAGGTCATAACTTAATTTTTTTCATGCGGGTTCAGATGGTTCAAGAAGCCGCATACGTTAAGTTACTAAAACGGCTCGTAGGGGAGACTCAGGCAGCGCCGATCACCTTATATTGACCTATTATAAAATGTTTAAAGTTACTTTAATCTGATCGGGATTTCAAATGTGAATAAATTAACATGTTATATACAAGTGTTAAAAACGTTAACAACAAAATAGTGAAAAATAAGAATGAAAAAAAATAAAATTAAAAACTTGCGGAATAACGGTTTTGCCCAGTACCCCAGGGTAAAACCGATCATATCACTAGGTCACTAGGGAAAAAGCGATCAGGAATTTTAAAATGCTTTTTTTAAATAATACGGTTAATAAGCACAAAAACACTTTATTAGCAAACGAACAAAACTTTGGTGAATTAAATGTAAAAAATATGTAATTTTCAAACATGTAGAAACAACTTGGGTTGGGTTAATATTAATGTCTATTTGACACAATAGTGTCTTTGCATTGGTCACAAATGTATACCCCTGTTATGTAATATGTGCATAATTTATGCGCCCAATTGCAGCAAATATTACACTGTATCCACACTTCTCATGGACGTGAATTAGAGAATAATCCATAACATGCTAAACATTTAACATCCTCCTCTGGACATTCTTCTTTTGGTGGCTTAGGATAAATAAGCTCCTATTTTGTTTTTTTTTTTCGTTCTTGCATTTATTGTTTTTTCGTCAGTTTTTAGGGTTTTCTTAATTTTTATTGTTGGTCCATCGTCTATTTTTATTTTTCTTGTAACACTCTCCTTTTTTGTATTTTCTTTTTGAGAAATTTCTTCTTTAACAGGTGTAGAAGTCAAAATTTCCGACTTCTGTGACTTTCTTCTTCGTGTGTTTTGTTTAAAGTCACCTTATGGTAGTATCAATATATCGGAAATAACGGTAATCTTTTTTTCAGGCGTCATAATATTTTTATTCATATTTGTTGGATCTTTCTCTACATTACTGGCAGATATAATTTGTAAGCTATCTGTAACCTGGACTAAATTTTCTTTCAATACTCTGGATGGTCCAGCACCTTCAGTCGTTTCAGAGGCAGTACTTATAGAGGACGCAATTTCGCTGACTTCTGTACAGTAGATACTTTTAGGTGTTTTCGTTAATTCCAATGGGTTTATCTCGGTTACGATTGAGGGTGCGACGTCAAGGTCTGTAAAAACGGAAATATCACAATTTGTGATTCCTGTTTTTTTAAATCCACTTATGGCATTAACAGAAACAGCGCTATTTAAATAGGCTTCTGTAAATATTGAGCCTATATCAAAAAAAGTTACTCTCTGGGCATTTATCCAGGGCTCTCTCAAAATATTTTCCGAATGGGCCGTCACAGCAACGTCCAACGGTTGGAGTTTGTGAGTCGAGTGGGGCGGAACTGACAGAATGACCACATGATTTTCGGATACTGTAAAACCTTTAACGACCGATGTGACACGTGATTGTCTAGTATAAGAAGACACTTAGGCTGTTCCGTCGGTCTTACACCCGCCACAAAAAACTTAAGCCATTCTAAAAATCAGAATTCAGAATTAATCCAGCCATTGTCCGTTACTAACATTAATGTTCCTGGAGGGGTTCCTTCAAGATAACGGGGATTTTTCTTCTTTCGAGGAGTTGGAGAAATAAATTTTCCGGTTGCTGAACAACAAAATATCGACGTTATCAGAGTACCGCGTTCAGATGACGAAATTGACCCAACTTGCTTCTTGCCTCTTGCCTCTTACAGATAAAACTTTTGGGTTTTTTTTAGCTGACGTCTGGATCCCCGTCTCATCGACATTATATATATTGTCCGTAGTAATATGATGCTTTTCTAGACTTTGAGACAGATTTTTAAAGAAAATTTCGACCTGAACTCTGTTGAATCCGCAAGCCCGTGCGACGCTAGTAGGTTCTGGAGTCCTTAAACTTAACTCTTGATGTCGCAGCATAAAATTAGCGTACCACTGCTCACCCGCTACATTATTCGTAAATGGATGGTGAATATGTTTTTCCTCCGCATACTGGTAAGCTAATTTACAAAAATCTCTCTTGGTTAAACCATAGAATCGCTTATCTAATTCTTTCAGATATTGAACAAGCTCTTTTTCTTCTGCCTCGGAAAAAAATTAGAATATCCTAACTTCTTTTTTGAAGAATTTAATTTTTTGTGGTCGGCCAGAGTAGAATAGGGAATTCCATATTTTTTGAAGCCCCCCTAATAAATATATTCCCTTGCTTTAAGTCATTTAATGCTAAAGACATTGTCTGCTCACTCCATGAGTCTCCCCTGGATGATATTCGCTTATATTTAAAAAACCGCTTATAAAACCATATTTACCATGCTGCAAATTAAAACCCTGCATTATAAACGGACGATTTTGTAATGAATCTAACTATATCCAATTATTAAATAGGCAATTCAACAATAATAGGTAGGTAGCTTACAAACCACATTTTTGTAGTTAGGGCAAAACTGATCATGATCGGTTTTGCCTGATCGGTCTTGTCTAGAATTAACTAAATCTCCTTTATTTTATTAAATATATGGCAACAATACCTTAGAATATAAATATTTGAAGGTTATGTGTAAAGGAAACAATATCCTTTCGATTAACCCAAAAATTCTATATAAAATAAGAAGTTTAAGCTAAAAATCATCATTAATGTAGAAGATAACTAAGTATTTTACGTCTTGCAATAACGTTTTAAAGGAATTAAACTAATATTACTTACCAATTCAGCAAAAAACTACCGGTATTTAACAGACTATGAGCACCACATTTAAAATAGCAATGTTGCAAAATTTAATTTTTGCAGGGTTAGAAATATATTAGTGATCGTTATTGCCCGATATATCGGTTTTGCCCGAGTCTACCCTACCTCTAAAGCTTGATTTGCATGCATCCGTTGTCCGACGATACGATGATACGATATTAATTTTATTGGTTGAATTTAAAGAGTTCGATTGGTTAGAAATGGTTAACCAATCGTAGCCTTTAAATTCAACCAATAAAATTAATATCGTATCGTCGGACAACGGATATATGAAAATCAAGCTTAAATAGGTATTAAAAATACTATATGTACATGCACTCAATTTCAGAACATATTTAACATAAGCCATGGTTTATCTAAAATAATAAGAGTATTTAACAAAAACAGTAAACAATCATGAAAAACTCTCATGCAAGACGAAAACTAAGCATTCTACCTCCCCTTTATTTAAAACACAATTTTAACATATCCGAATAAAGTATTAAACTAATTCTACTTTGCAGAAAGTTCATCACTTAATATAACTACAAAATACTAAAAATTACCTGTTTGATCTCTTCCAAATAAAAAAAAACACACCAATACAAAAATGTTTGTCACAGATTGACAGTGACAGTTAGCAGGGCTTCTCTCAGTTCAATCAGGGTCTTCCATAGATTGAGATAAGTCGGCTTACTCGGGGACCATTCCTTGGTGACCAGGTAGAAGATGTGTCTTGCTTGACCATGTGCATTGTCGGTTAGCCTCAAGACGCTTCCAACCTCTGGATCCTGTCGGCGTAGTTCTCCGACACGCCCAAACTTCTCATTGAACGTCGCAGCGATTCCTCTGGACATCCGCAAATCTCGAGCCACACAATGAGCGAGCGAATAATCAGGAGGCACGGAAAAGAGGTCTCGTTGATCTTCTTTGGTTACACCATAGCGAGCCTTCTCACTGCTGTTGTATCGGGCCATGAAATCGTCAAAGGACATCTCCGAATCAGGGGGATCAAAGCTGCAGGTTCTCACGGTCCCAGCACGATCTTCTATTTCGCCTTGGTAGGGGCTCAAACGGTTGAAATGGACTACCCTCGGTTTTCCTTTTGGCAATTTTCTGATACGGTATACGACGTCATTAATTCTATCCATGACTTCGTATGGCCCTTCCCACGAGGATTGTAGCTTCGGAGATAACCCACGACGTCTCTGCGGGTTATATAGCCACACCAACTTCCCTGGTTGGTATCCTCCATGCTCAGCTTGAATGTCGTAGTGTTCCTTCATTCGGTCACTAGCACTTTGAATATTTAGGCGGACTCTCTGATGAATGTCGTCCATCCTTTGACGTAGTGTGTGGACATAATCTTCTCCGGCGACTTCTTCTCCCGGTCGGCAACCAAATTTCAGATCACAGGGTAGGCGCACTTCCCGTCCCATAACGATGCTGGCTGGAGTTTGCCCTGTAGATTCTTGGACGGATGAACGGTAGGCCAACAGGAACAGGTGAAGAAATTTGTCCCAGTCTCTTTGGTGGTCAGAGACTACTTTGGCCAGATAACGGTTGATAGTTCTGTTCATGCGTTCAACCATCCCATCGGAT